ACCACTGTGCTCCTTCTTTTATCCCTTGCTGCTTCCATGTCATGGCCTTTACATCAAATGGATGTGAAGAATGCGTTCCCCCATGGAGACCTCAAAGGAAGATATTTATATGAAACTTCCATCTGGTATGCCTCTTCCCTCTCATCTGCTTGAACCTTCAAATATATAAACAAAATTTGTATGCAATTAACACAATTAATTGCCAAAGGGATAAACCAACTCATTATGGCCAAAACTGCCAAAAAACTGCCTCTTATGCCATTACTAAGCAATTGCCCATACTTTCCACCTATGTGGACCAAGAAAATGGCCTAAAACACATGTCAATACATGTTCTTGTCTTGGACACCTGAATTTGTGGACTGGAGTTCACTAAAAAGCAAACTAGATTCGTTCATGCTTTGCTACATTTTGCTAACCTGTAACACCTTGACACCAACCAAACTGAAGCAACATGCCCACAAGCTAAATCCTACATTTGCCTTGCTCCCAGGATCCAAAATGGGTGCCATTAGCACATGCAAAACTTCGGCATAAGAGTAAGGTGTGCCCATCCCATCGTGCATGTCAACATTTAAGGGGGCTGATGTCTAACTAGTATCTCTCAGTCTGTAGCCCTACGAACCTGATCAATGTCTTTTAGGTACTATACAATTCTATTCTAGCCATCTATAAATTCACAAATATTCTAGCCCAAGATATAAAGGCAAACATGGAATATGTAATCTAAAACTTTCGAAATTATAACTTTGCATTGATCATAACTTTTGAAATAACTAATTTCTTAAAGGTTGTAATGCCCTGGAGTACCGAAAATTATACTTTAATTTCACATAAAAACACATTTATTTATGTGGAATAATAACACCACGTAAAGGTTGTACACGCAGATTTCTAATCATGGTTTATGACCTATTGGAGATAATAAATGTGCAATTAATTCATTTATTTCATTATTAAAACAAATAATTAACATATAACTTAAAACATAACATCAATTTTATAAATCCCTTCAAAGTTATAATGCCAAATCTAAATTTTTATATATTCAATGCAAAACGGGTGTGTGTGTGTGGAGAGTTAAGTGCAACGCTTTACAATAATAAGTTGATCCAATTC